CTCATTTTATTTTTTCTGGAACTAAAACCAGACATAGTATTCTTAATTTGGCAAATGTGACAGCCCTATGTCCCAGAATCTGTTGTTCCAATATGGAAGACAATTAGCATATTTCTTTTTCAAGAGAATAATAACTTGTAATTGTGCCTTTTGTTAATTTACTGGGTCCATAGTTAGTTTTAAAATGAGTGGGACTTGTTTCAAAGGGCAGGTAAAAGTTAGCCATTTGGGAGAACAAATGTTTTTTGTTCTTAAAGTAATAATGATAATTCATATGCTAAATGAGTTTCATCATATAGACATATATGTATATAAATGTATATATGTATATGTGTATACACACATAAATAGTATATGTGTATACACACCCATATATAGTGAATGTGTATACACACACATATAGCTTATGTGTATACACAAAGCCTGTAGTGTATGTGTATACACACACATATATATATTGTGTATGTGTATACACACACATATATATTGTGTATGTGTATACACACATATACACCAGCTGGGTCACCTTCCTCAAGTCACTTCATTGCTGGACCTCCACTTGTTCATCTACAAAGTAGAAATAAAAAGACCTGAAATATACTACTTACTCAAAAGGGTTGCTGTGTGGATCAGATGAGATGTCTGTTTAGCACTTTGTAAATCTTACAGCAATATATAAATGCCATTTGCTATTATTTTTATTCTTATTATTCAAATAATAGCTATTAGAACATTATTTCTCATTTTTGTCCTTTATCATTCAATTTAAACATAATACATAATATATTTCTTGTTTACTTTCCCCCCCTACATGACTGTGGCACATTTGATTTATTCTCCCGCCTACCTGTTTCACCTTCCTCTCACATTTGATACTATATAGTATCCACAACTAGATGGCACAATAAATAGAGCCTAGAACTTAAGGGTCAGGAAGACCAGAGTTCAAATCCTCCCTCAGACATTTACTATCTATGTGACCCTGGGCAAATCACTTAGTTTCTCTGGGCCTCAGTTTCCTCATCTGTATAGTGGAGATATTAATAGCACCTACCTCTCAGGATTGTTGTGAGGATCAAATAACTTGACAGATTAGAGTACTTTGCCAATCTTGGACCTATATAAATGCTAACTAGTTATCCAGTGTCTTTTGACTATCTACCTGTTTATCTTAGGGGTCCTTAACATGTTGTCCATGAACGTGCATGTATGTGTGTGTGTATGTATGCACAAACATATAAACACACATATATACATATAATATCTCAATATAATTAGTTTCCTTTATAATTCTATTTATTTCATTTTGCTGAGAAGGGGTCTATACACTTTACTTGAACACCAAAGGTTTCAGTAACACACACACACACACACACACACTCACACAGAGGTTACTAGACATTGGATTAGCTATAGGTCTCAAACTAGCTGCCCTGATGCCTGAAATGAAAATATTGATTCAGTAATTGAAGACTTACAAATATGACAATGTCATCTCCTCCCATTATTTTAAAATGGGACACTGTCTAAAAGAGGGGACTGCATTGAAAAGTTGCTAGTACATAGAGCACCTAAACTAATTCTTCCATTTTAGCAAAAGTTTAAAAAAAATGGCCATATGATTTCACCTTCTCGGCTCTATCCCCTTGGTAGAGTACAATTTAAATTGGAATGCTTGCATTGAGTGACATATTTTTATAAGCACTTTTCTGAGAGTATAATGAGGCAAATTCTCAGATAACATACGCTTTGAGAACTTATAGAATCTTAAAGTTGTGAGATTTGGGAAAAGCATATTTTTGTTTTTCAGGCCTGACATAGGACTTTCCTATGTTCAAAATGTCCTTGACTCAATAGTTCTACAGATTTCATTTACTGTTATTTTGTAATCACTAAATAAGTGAAGATTATTTTCCTATTTGACCACAGGCTTTCTTGGGGAACATATTTGCCATGCCCTACAAATATTACGTCCTATATGTATTATTTGTGCCTTTCTTGCTGTAAATGAATGTAGGAGTGAGAGAAACATTACCTTCAGGGATTGTCTGTTAAAGTTATGTAGATTCCCTGGGCCTTCATAAAGCCAACACGTTTGTAGGAAAACTAAAAAATAAAAATTAATTCATATAATAATCTTGATGCTTTGTCTATAGGATGTGAAATAAAAATTCAAAAACCTCCAAATAATTGAAAAATTTTATTTCTGTTCAGATAGATTATTGTCATAGAGGTTCAGGGTAATTTTAAGTGTTGTACTTTTGAGTCTTGAGAAACAATTTTAAGCAATATGTATTAGGTTAAAATATTCCAATCTGATGTTTATTATTATTCATAAGTCATGAATTATTAAAATTCCTCTTGGAGTTGGTTTTTTTTTTCCCCTTGAACCAAAGTAACATATATAGCTCTTCATCTACTCTTTATGTTAATTTTGGAAACTTTATTCTTAATAACTTTAGACAACCCTTGTTCCTTATTCCACTTTCCTTCTGCCTCTCCAGTAAATAAATCAAATCCATGCTTTCATGTAGGCAGGACTTCCTCTTCTTGGTAAATAAAGTTTGGAATTTGATGTAATTGCTATTGTTGGCTTTGATTGTTTTCTTTTCTTTACTTCACTTTTTTTTAAAGAAAATTGAAAAGAAAAGAGCTCCTTCTTAACCTTCTCTCCAATAAATTAGTGAGTGGGAGGGTTGCCCATTCTCTAATCTATATTTTTAAAGAAACTATTTGAGAATGAGAGAAGATAAGGCTGCCTAAAGGAGATTGAATTTGCATTCTGATTATTTGCACAAGTGTTCTATTCCACAAAGTTTATGTATCTTCTTATGTTTAATGTAAGTATTACCTACTAGGGTTGGGTTTTTTCCCCCCTTTCTCTCCAACAGATTTGTAAGCATCAAGCCGTTTTTTCCTCCAAAAAGGGAAGTGGTATATACAATTTAGCTATTCATTTATGCAAACGACGGTAAACAGAATTATAAAGACAGATAATAAACAGCAAATGAGGTTATTTTGCTTTGCGCTTCATGTTGTCAGAGTTCTGAGCATAGTTTAGTGTTTTCTATTCATGACTTTATATTACCAAATTACTCCCTGATGATGTCTCAGATGTGCTTTTGTCTGCAAATGAGAAGGAATAAAATACCAAGACATTAACGTTAAATTACAATCGTTAATGGCGTAAATACGAAAATAATTACTGCATCATACCATCAATTGTTATGTGTTCATTACTGAAGTTCTTGTAAAGCCTTCATTCCCTCCTCACAATTATTTTTTTTTCTCTTTATTTTTGTCTGGTTATTTTATAGCCCTGACAATACTTTAGCAACATTCAGCAGTTACACAACCCATTTACTCCTGTTTAAAGCTTCATTTAAACTTCATTCTCGCTACATTTTGTCTGGGTGGGTGTGAGTTTCACTTCTGTCTCTGATGGCCAAAAGTTTGGCAGGGTGGGCCCCGGGCGAGTTGGGAGTGTGAGAGGAGATGATCTGAAGCCTGCATTTCACCTGGGAGAAGCTCCCCAGGCCACCCCAGCATCCTTCCAAAACTCCTTGGACCCAATGAGCCATGTTCTTGCTCCTTGAGGATTCTCCTCCCAGTGGCTGCTGCTGTTTTAATAGTAACAGCTTTTACAAAGTAGCTTGCAATTGTACAACCAACCAGGCAGAACGCTTTTGTGATACTCCTCTTCCCACCTTCTCCCTCTCTCTCCCTTCCTTCCTCTCTCTCCCACCCCATACACCCCTTATATCTCTCCATCTCCTGTCCTCTTTTCTCTCTTCCTTCTTTCCTGTTCTCTCCTTCCCTTTCTCCAGTCCCCTTCCCTCTTTTGACCTCGGTTCCTTTTCTCTCTTCTCTCCTTAGATCCTCCCCCGCCAGTTTCCCCAAGCCTCCCCCACCCCCGCCCAACAAACACACCTCTCTAACCTCCCTTTTCTTGGCTTTTCTCACAGATATCTCGGTCACACCGGCACCCACGGGTACTTTCCCAGCCTGCCTTCTGCGCCCTCCCCCACTCATCCAGGGTTTTCCCAAGTGATAGGACCAGACCAGAGCTCCCTCCAGAGCCTGCCCCTTCTTTTGTTTGTCACCTCCCCCCACTACCTTCCCTGTGTCACCGTGAGGGTTGGGGCGGGGCGGGGGGGGGTCTGTCCTCCGAGACTCCCGAGAATGACCACGGAGCACATCAACTCTTCTTCCCGGAGGCAGCAATGCATCGGTGGGCAGCATGCTGCATCCATGCATCCGTTCATATACGAACCCACAGGCGCGCGCACAGATGAAGCCTGGGACTAAGGCTCCCCAGATGCCTGAGGGATGCACAGGGCTGCTAAAACAGGAAGGCGCAGTCCCCGGCTACCCTTGGCTCATCATCTCTCGTTCGCTCTCAATTTTAACGCAAGGGATCAGGGCAAAACTTCTCTCTCGGTCAGACCCAGAGACACGTATTCGGAGGAAATGAGTAATAAACATCGGGGAGGGAGAGGTGGTTGATAAGATTTAAAGCTGGAAAGGATCTTAGAAGTTATCAAATCCAAGCCTCTTCGTTTTATAAGGAGGAAACTGAGGCCCAGAGGGAGAAGTGCCTCCTCAAAATAGCACACGGAGTAAGAATGTAAGCTCAGAGGTCAGTTTATTGTATCCACCAGCCCCGAAGTACAGGGTCTGGCATATTCCTGTTTGTTTTTATTTTACTTTACTTTATTTTATTTTATTTTACCTTACTAGACTTGCGCTTTAATCGATATAGGGAGCTCCTTAAGAGTAAACTCCTTCTACCAAAGCAGGTGTTCACGGTTTAGAACGCTGCCTGTGGCACAGTAGTGTGACCCGTACAGGGTCACACAGCCAGTAAACGTCAGAGCCTGGACCTGAAGGCAAGTCTTTCTGACTCTGACGCTCTCCACTACAGCAGACGCTGCATAGAATGCTTGTTGAATTGGGCAGACGTGAAAAGTGACAGAACAAGGCTCTTTCCCATCTCGGACATGCTACAAAGTTTGATCCTCTCCCTGCTCTCCAACAGGACGCCTCCGGTCCCTCCCGACTCCCAAGCCCATGGTTCTGGTCATGCATTAACCGCATCCACATCTCCATCCTTGGAGGAGGATTCTTCACCTCAGAGATCACCACCACTGCAAGAACAGGTTTCTCCAAGCCCAGACTGTCCCTCCTCCGGGGACCAGCTCCCCCAAACCCACTCCCCGTGGGCGCTTTGTTATTTCTCCAACTCTGCCCCCAGGTCGGCTGCCCAAGCCCTGGCTGCAAACTTTTGGTGGCCCACTCTCCCCAGACCCCGGGAAGGGAGGACGCGAGGCCGGGAGGCGGGAGGCTCACAGGTGCCACCAGCCTCCACTCCTAGGAGGCTCAGCTCGGCGCAGCGTAACTTGACAGCCACATCCATAACTGCCAGCCCACGCCCTCCATCGCCCCGCCGGGAGGCGGAGAACAAAGCTGGGCGCCGAGGGGACCTTGGGCGACCCCGGGTGGAGAGCTGCCCCGTGGTGACTCGGCGCCGTCCGGGGGGGGTCCCCAGTGCGGCCAGTCCCGGTTGCTCCCCGTGCAGCCCATCCGGGCCAGCCTCCGCGCTCCCCACCGCGTTACCTTAGGGCCGCCGGCCGGCTTCCCCCCGGAGCGCGCCCGGCTGCCTGCCCGGCAGCTGCTGCTGCTCCCTCGGCCCGCCGCGCTGCCTCTGCTGCTGCTGCTGCTGCTGCTGCTGCTGCTGCTGCTGCTGCTGCTGCTGCTGCTGCTGCTGCTGCTGCTGCTGCTGC